TTGAACTCAAAGCTTTCCACTCTAAGCTTTGTATTCAAAGCTTTGTAGTCCAAGCTTTGTATTCAAAGCTTTGTAGTCCAAGCTTTGTATTCAAAGCTTTGTAGTCCAAGCTTTGTAGTCCAAGCTTTGTATTCCAAGCTTTGTACTCCAAGCTTTGTATTTCAAGCTTTGTATTCAAAGCTTTGTACTCGAAGCTTTGTATTCAAAGCTTTGTACTCGAAGCTTTGTATTCAAAGCTTGTACTCGAAGTGGACCAAGCTCTGGTCAGTCATATCATCCATATAGGTCATCCCATAAGTAATATCCTAACTTTCCTTCTATAATGAATCTTTCTTTATAATTTTATCTCTATAGTGAAATCACTTCGAGCGATGATTTTACACTGTTAAGACTATATTCTAACGTAAGTGTGCTTTCGCAGCTAATAGATCCCATCAATTTCAACGCGTTCCAAATGCCCATCTCGCTGCCTGGTGGCGAACCAGTCGCAGATGACTATGCCGTCGTGTCTGCATGGGGTGATAGGAGCTCTCCTCCGGATGCCCAACTTTCCAACACTCAGCAATACGAGTACCTCAGGATGCTCAGCTTGGATCAGTGCCAACAGTACAGCAACCTTGATGTTGACAGCAGCATGATATGTACCTACGATGGACCTGGCATAGGTTTATGTCCAGTAAGTGTTGGTGACTGGATCGCTTTCGCAACGGTTTGCATCAAGTTTAATCGTAACTTGACTAACACTTCTAATTTTCTTTTTTCTAGGGTGACAGTGGCAGTCCACTTGTTTTCAACAATCAAGTCGTCGGTGTAGTATCCCGTGGTTATCCTTGCGCACGTGGCGAGCCAGACGTTTTCACTGATGTTTACGCCAACATAGATTTCGTCCACGAAGCAATGCAATACTAAGTTCAATTTGTAAAGAACCATTTGAAGAAGAAATAAATCAGTGTATCTTTGTATGCAAAGAAATTTCTCAAATAGAAGACCGAATATAGTATCCACTCGATACAATCTCGAACTCATCCAAATCTCAATTGAACATACCGTAGAAAAGATAAGATTCCACAGGTGGTGTTGATAAGATGAATACTAGAACAAACGATTAATATATGTAAACATATAAGATAACATCTTGTTGTCGCTAATTATACGATGTTAGTTTCTCTCGTAATACACACTATATGATTGAGATTCTGAAGATAGTTCTTATCAGGTCTTAACTATCACAGCTTATCGCTACAAAAATCTTACCGGTTTCCTAAGTAATGGTGATTGAAAAGACACTAATTTACTGATATAAATGACGACGAATGTTACCATTGTCGATCAACCAATTGACGTTGACAACGAAATGCTCAAACTATTGAAAAATTGGGTAAACAAACAATCACGTAGAGAATGGCTTGTGGTATGTAACTTCAATTTGACGAGGAAAACGTATACGAACTATCAAAAATATTTGATTGGATTTGTGTACTATTCGATCCGAAAGTACAGCAACGAAATGAGATTAATTGCCATCGTCAGTGGACGATGACGTCATCGAACTGCTCCACTGTCCTCGCCGTCTTTGGTATGGCAGACCGTGTGGGTCAGCCAGATAGGCCCACTCGTTTGCGGTCCCCATTATGGTACCTCTACTGTATATCATTGACTCACGCGACGTCTATGCTCTCGACGTTATTGCTACAAAGTTGTCAATCTAGATGGAAGTAGGAACAAGGGAGTCATCGTTCACCAGATTCTGAGATTGTTTAAGCATTAGGGATGAAATTGACCTTGAAAATTCACTACGATATTACTCAACCCCAAACTCGATCGAAATCTCAGTTAGCACAGTCGTTTCACTCCTTGTGAAATAAATGTTCACTTTTAGAAAGGAATTTCTAACTTATTAACACGTTCACTGCCAGACTAATACTCTTGAAAATGTCTACTGTGATTAAATTTTGTTTACGGACTATTGGAAACTGCGTAATGAAACATCTATTGTGGTATTTAGTTGTGTAACTTCATCAAAGTTCAAAGTATTTCGTTTAAATTCATTTTCTGTGACACTTAACTTTCAGAATTAATTTTCGTAGTTTTTCAGTGAAAAGCACTGTCACCCATATATGGGTGACGTGGCGATCAACGTGTTAAAGGAACTTCGTTCAGTTTTAGATTTCAATGAATTACATCTCAGTAACGACGCGGTCGATAATTATTTTTTTTTTTTTTCGTATGGTCTATAATTTCTACAATTTATAATTTCATAATGGCCCGTGTCCAAATTACAAAAAATTGTATATCGTTTGTCATAAAATTGGGATGGTTCGTGTAAATCGAGACAGGCTCGTACGATTCGTATTTAATCAAAGAATCATCGAGTGAAGTTTCGTTAAAATCCTCTATTAAGCAAGTACCTTGAGATTCTGAAGTTGACGTAAAGAGGCTTTTTTGTTTGTATTTGTTTTTATTGTGAACTTTTTACAAAGTTATTAGCACGTTTCCTGTTACATTATTTTCTTACCTTCTAATTTTCTTATAAATGTTATTTTCGCGCTTACATTTTATAATACTTGTCGCCTCTTAAAGCTATTTTCTAATACGACTTGTGTCACATTTTTACCAAAGGCTTTATTACATTTTCTGAAGAGGCTTCTTGGGTCATCCAGTGGTCGGCCTAAGCGCTGAGCGTACCGTGGCATTGATTTACGCGTACCGCGACCCTGGGGAGGGCGGATTCTGGTTAGCAGAGGCGCCACAGGGTTGTACACCCTCTCTTCAGCGTCTTTTCAATCGTCGACTGCCGTGATCCGCACAGGCGCGCGCTCGACTCGTGACGTAGTCGGGGAAAGTACTGTCAAGGGTGGCCTCGTGCGCGAAATGCGGGTTAGTGGGGCACGGGCGTCGCGACGCCGAGCGTCGACGTCGCCTCGGTATTACCCGCTCGATCTCTCGTGCTCGACTTCGTTCGCCAGGCTTTTACGTAAGAAGCAATCCTAATTCCGACGAACCAGGGATGAGAGACGGTTGGATGGTTGAAACGGCTTGAAGGTTCGAAGTTCGAGGGCTCAGGATCACCCATGGGATACGTCGTCGGCTGGGAAGATGGCTATGATCAGGTGCTGCTTCGAGGCGGAAGTGCCGGACGTCTTCGAGTCCCTCAGCAAGTGCACTGACCCTGGCTGTGAGTATTAATCAGTCTTCTTTCCATCAAAGTGTTCCATTCATTTCTTGTGTTTGTTGATGTTTGCTTACTGTGCCGAGTGGTGATCGTTTGATTCCAATAGCGCAACTCTTCGAGGTTCGTTAAGTTATCGAGTGAATTGTATTATATCTCCCGAAAAAGAAATTATTCTTTGGGATCTCTAATATATTTGTAAAGTAATTAGAGCCGAGGAGGAAGTTAGATGCCGTAATTCTGTAAAATTTTCTTATCGAGTTTTACAAGAATTATTTTTCTTGAGTACCGGGGAATATTATGCGCTAAATGGTGTCACTAAAAAGTGACGAGGTATAGTGATCAGAATGTTCTCTCCGCTTTATCTTTGTTTATGTACCTCCTTGTAGTTCAACAAGTACTCCAAGTATTGATTATTGAAAACCTCATTCGTATATTAAATTTGATATTACATAACGAATTAGTTTCATCCCTGTAGTTTAATTTTATCGACGTAATTATAATGGTCGAGTACGTAAACTTCGTTACTTGTTTACAGCAGTGATTATGCAGTTAATCCATTAATATATTATTTATCTATCGCTATAATCAAGTACCATTTATTTTTCTTGGTTCTCGGAGCAGAAACGTCTAAACGCTTCGGAAAATATTATTAAATTATTTTTGCGTGATTAATAATAAAACGATAACCGCGTAGGCGCTACGTTCAACTATGCGAACAGACCTTTACTATTGATTTCCGAAGCCTCGTGTCAACATCCGGAATATCTTGTCGTTATGAATACCTCTACATAGTATAAAATTAAGTCCTTGGTAGGCGTCTGTCTGTATGTTCGGGTTTAAATGTGATCCAGAGTCAGAGAAGCCTGACTATTCCTGCGTGGGATTATCTTCGCGAGCGAGCGTCATGATTCAATATTTTCCGCGAAGCGGAGAAATTGTTATGGACTTATGAAAGCTTAGTTAATATCAATATATGAAAAATGATCAAATATAGTTCATTCGAAAGCCTATTTTGAACAATGTAGAAGAAATTGCTCTTAATGTTCGCATAATACATTCAAATTTAGCGCGTCTTTTAAATTTAACCCCGGGGCCATCTAGCGGTGAAAGGATCGAACTAACTTTCGGAGTTTGGTCAGCGCTTCTCTCGGGAAAACGCTCAAGTTTGTCCTCAATAGTTCCTTTTTTCACTGCTAGATGACGCTGTTTTTATCGACATAGCCGGTACATTACCATGTTGTCGGTACTTTACCATGTAAATGGCGCCATCTGGCAGTAAAGAAAGAAACTATTGAGGACAAACTTGAGCGTTTTCCCGATAGAGGCGCTGACCAAACTCCAAATAATAGTTCGGCTGTTCACCCCTAGATGGCTTTTCATTTGACCAAAAATACCGCGAAACCACAAGAGAAATTATATTAGTTTAAAAGCTTACAAAAGAAGGGTAGTATATACGCATAACACGGATTGATCCCGTTCAAACTGAAAATCGCGATGACGTTTTCTGAATTTAGCATCAGAAGGCTAGCAATCGGTGACCGATTTTCAAATGTCTAGCAACCTACATAATTTCATTTCAGTAACCTGCGAATAATCCTTAGAGTAGCCTTGCATATCCAAATGTGCCAGGAGACGAAGGAGGTTTTATTAAGTAAGCTCAAACCTGTTTAATGCTATTGTTCTTTTGATAAAAGCAAGGTGCAGGATAGACCAGGCATCGCAGTTAATCTTTTTGACATATGGCTTATATAAACAACTCATTATACTCGTATTCTTTAAAAGTTCATTGATTCGTTTGGGAATCCTTTGACTTGCTAGATTGATGGAGAAATTGGTCTATCTATCTTTGGATTTGCTTCTACTTTTCACAGAATTTTATGCTTTAAATTATAAATCTTTGCAGCTTCAGTTTTGTTTCTTTTTTAAACCGTGTGACTCGAAAAGACACGAATATGATTTTAAACAATTCAAAACTCAGTGAGCGGATTTTTTGCGGTGGTGGCGCCACCCGTGGAGAAACACACAAGTTTGTAGTAAAAATAGTACACACCATTTCTATACGATGGCGCCACTGGCATTCAAACCCGATCGATAATTATCAATTGGAATGAAACGTTACCCACAGTACCTTATATGAATATAAAACTTTTACTCTCGCCAATAATTTACCCAAATTCACATATAAATGTATCACTTATTTATAGCATAATTTATGTACTCTGTAATCGCTATGAAAGTTTATAAATAACTTCGAAATGCTCTATGGATAAAATAAGAATGTCACGTTACTAGTCGTACAAGTGATTTTTCTAGTGGCTCAGAATTTCACTCCATTGATAATATCAGTCGATCCAAGTCCCTTCGTGTGTACTGTGGTGACTCAATCGTATCAAAATGTTCGGTAAATATATTGTAACTTTGTTTTGAAACATCTAATGCCACCGTGAAATGTTCTTATCGCTTACATCCCATTAATGTCCATCAATTGTTTCACACAATCCACAAAATCGTATTTTTCTCTTGTAATTTTTTCATTCTATTTTTACTAGGTTGTTGTTGGTGCTGTTCTGCTTTACGTCCAAGGTACAAAAGGCTCGTTGACAATATTTTTCCTGTTAACCCACAGGTGAGATTCCTACTTTTCGCACCTCTAATAAACATACGATTTTCATTTATTTTCAGTAAATAAATCCAAGGTAATGAATTGCTTATTATGTAATTGAACTTGTATCAATTTCAATCTAATCCTAGCAGAAGTGACAGATCAACATATGTATTTTATGTCTTGTAATGACAGTTACACATTTATTATAATAACGAATATTTATTAAAATACTTTTAAATACACACAATACTTACCCCTCCTAAACTCAAAAGTATCAAAGGGCTACCTTTCTGATCTTTTAATTAAATATTAGTAAAATGTTAATAATATTCTCATTTATTCTCTCCCAAATTGAGTTTCAGTTTCCTACATATTTTCTCAATGTATTCTTTTGTATTCTTGTTCTAATATTAATGAAATGAGTACATGAAAATCAAAGGTAACGATGTTGGTATATGATTTTTTTCAATTAACATTGGCAACTTTTGCAAAACGAATTAATGTAATATTTTTTAATATATTTAGGATGGCTTGGTCAAAAATAACATGGAGAAGTTGACCTTTTATTCGTTAAGCAGCCCTGAAAAGCTAGACAGAATCGGAGAATATTTGTTTCAAAGGGCTTCCAGAGATATTTACAGGTAAAGCATAAACAATCTAAATGATAGACAATTATGTATAATTAATCTGATAATTATGAAAAGTGCTCACTCATGTAGTTATCTTAAATTGTTGTTTATTTATGTTACATGCTAGTCATACAAGTAATTATATGTTACGGATAAATTCGCATTTTTACTGTCAAAATATCCTAGGTATCTTTTTATATTCAAGTACAAAATTTAAAACAAGTATGTAAATTAACAGGAGAAGAAATGGATTTGTGATTATTGCTATGGAGGCAATGGATCAGCTTTTACTAGCGTGCCATGCCCAAACTTTGAATTTATTTGTTGAAAGCTTTTTAAAAATGGTACAAAAATTATTGGAGTCTACGGATCCCCAACTACAAATACTGGCAACACAGTCTGTAAGTTTCAACGAGCAACACACGATATCGATGCTCCGTTTTCGAACTTAAAATTTACAGTGTTACATTCTTTTTATTAAATGCGATTGTTATTTACCATTGATATAAAAAATAATCATATCTTTGGCATCTTTGAATTCAGTTGAACAAAGTGCTGGCTTCTTCCAGTTTGTCCGATTTGCCAACATCGAGCAAGATACGCCGTCTTATCACACACGTTACGATTTCTTTGTATCAAAGTACTCTGCAATGTGCCACTCCAATAACGATGACCCTGCGATCCGCAAGCAAATACGACTTGCTGGAATTCAGGGATTACAGGCATGGTTCTTTTATATCCATAAATATTAAATTAAATATCAGAGCAATATCGATATGTAATTATTGGTATTTTTGTTTCAAAACCAATAATTTAATTTTTTTATAGGGTGTCGTAAGAAAAACACTTTCCGATGATTTAGTGGAAAACATTTGGGAACCTGTTCATATGGATAAGATTGTTCCATCATTGTTATATAACATGCAAAATTCTAGGTAAAACATGCAAGTGATGCGCGTATATATGTGCGTGCAACGTAGCTTAATTTTTTGATATATACGATTCGGTTTTATTAGATATTCGAATAAAGAAGATGCAACACCGGATAGCCCAACCGAAGAGCGGTCAGATCCACCACAATTCGCGGAAACTTGTATGCGAGAGCTTGTTGGGCGAGCATCGTTTGGTCACATTAGATGTGTTATTAGACCAGTTTTAAGGTTTGACAATGGTTATCTTACATCAATAAAAATACTTATCGATAGCGGTGTGACATAAAAATTATTTGCAGGCACTTGGACAATCATCAATTATGGGTTCCTAATTATTTTGCTATACATACATTTAGGATAATTATGTTTTCCATTCAGGTTAGCGAAAAAATAATGAATTATGAATAATAATTAATGAATATATGAGGATATTACCACTTTTTTTTAGTCGCAATATTCTTATACAGTTGTGGAAGCATTAATGGCTCATCTCGACGATCACTCGAAATCGACTGCAAAAATTCGGACAAGTATTGCAGATACCTTATCCAAAATTATTTCAATTGCAGCTGGTGAAAGCGTTGGTAAGTTTTAATGCATTATTATTATCATTAAAGATAAAATTATTATCACGCGTTAAGTCTAACACGTTTTTCAAGGTCCATCCGTCTTGGAAATAATAAATTCGCTACTATCTCACCTCCGAGTTAGTGTAACAAGAAACCAACCATCCAGTAGCGACGAGCAGTTGTATCAAGAAGCACTTATTAACGCTCTTGGAGAATTTGCAAACCATCTTCCAGATTATCAAAAGATAGAAATTATGATGTTCATTATGAGTAAAGTCCCATACAGCCAACCAGATCGCATAGTCTCTGTTGGAAAAGGAGATGTATTACTCCAAAGTATCCTTCTAAAATCCCTTCTAAAGGTAACATCGTTATCAAAAGTAAAGTATACATTGGTTAATGCATTTATTATTCACTGCGCTTTTTATTGTTCTTAGGTCGGCACAAAATATCAAACTATACATTTAAATACAACATTCCCGCCAAGTTTTTTGGAACCATTATTAAGAATGTCGCTCGCAGCAGATGCTGAAATGCGACTTTTAGTACAAAAAATCTTCCATACCCTAATCGACAGACATCAAAATATTACAAAACTTGCAAAACCTATGTAAGTTATTATCGATCAATTTTTTGTTATCCTCTACTATTTACATTTTTCGATATATTTTAAGATCGTATTACATTCGTTAAACAGAACGAACGTAGCACCACTCAATCTTACCATTGAAAAAGCATCCAGACCAGATGTTATCTTTATTCGCAAACATGGCCCTGAAATTTATTTAGCGCTTTATGAATCGTTGGAATTGGCAAGTAACACGGTGGAAAATGTGGAATCTATATATACAACGTTGGCGTTACTTGCCGTAGAATTGGCTTCGGAAGAAACCATATTGGAGCTCCTAAGATTAGTGCTGAGCCTTCAAGATCTAGCTCTAACGAGTGGTCAAATCAGCATTTCGCTCAAATTTAATTTGCACGCTACCGTCATCAGTTTGCTGGTACTAATATCTTACGTTTGCAATATCGCTTCGCTGATGGATTACGCGAACAAAGTAAGTGAAAACACATTCGAAATATTAATACATTATAATAACATATTAAAACCTCTTCAATTTTCACGATTTAAGATTGTAGAAATACGGCGGAAAGAAGCACCGCATCTGTTACCTGATTTACATTCACAATACGATCCCGGGTTATCTTCTAGAATAGCACCGGTTCTGTTAGTTGATCAAACTGTTTTAAGCGAATGTTTAAAAGGAGCTGGTCTGGACAGTGGAAAGCTACAACAGGGACCTGGCTATAGTAGCACTTCACTACAACATCGGTAATGTCAATAACGATGAAATGCATCCTTTTCCTGCTTACAGTATTACGTAAAACTTGTTGCTAAATTAATAGTATTAATTTTCAGGCATTCATGGGTTGATAGTGCTGGACGAAATTCATTAGCGGATATTAACTCTGGTGCTACAGAATTGGACAGTGGTGGCTCATCTCCCGGTGTTCAGAAGGTACATTTTTTTACTTATACTTTTAACTTAATCCTAGCTTTTTATTCATTATATCTCTTCATTGTCTAGAAATTGCTGGGAGAAGAGTTAACTTTCGAAAGTATGAAACGAATTCTAACAGAAAATAATAATAATCACGTAATGGAAGGAGAAAAGCGATTACAATTATCGCACTTCTTTAGAAACGCGCCATTCCAAGATTTGGTGTCGAAAACGCAACCAAAGGTACAGGTAAAGCTAAATGGGAAAATGTTTATGAAAGTTTTATAATATTGTGGATAACTTTTCAGCATGACGTTCTCCAAAGCAAGTTATCCGAAATATTTAATACACTAGCCGTCGATCCACGAAATACACCTCAACCAGGCGGGCCGCCAACGGATACCAAACCTAATCAAGCACCGCCAGCTTATGAAATACATTTTCCCGAGTTATTTGTTTATTAAAATAATGTTTCTATAACATTGTTAATCCTTTCGCTGCTAAATGTGCACATATATGTTCACCACAAGTGACGCTCCAATTACGAAGAATGTATAAATGCAGCGATAAACCGTATTCAAATCACTGTTTTATCTGCTTATTTAACTGATAAAATGTCGTTATCGATAATATATACATATATATATATATATATATATATAACACAATATTGTACAGTGTCGTTTTCCTGCGTACAATGCGAGCCCTTTTACAATTAATTACGCACACACCGCAGCGAAAGAACTAATATGTTGTACATTATAGTAGTCGGATGTCAATTATAATTGCGTTAATTTATTTATAAGTTTTGCATTGAAAATGTGTAAAGCAATGTTTTTATATAGATAGCATTTTGATGACTAATACAAGTCATAATATTTATTTGTAATATATACATATGTTATATATTATGTATTTACTTTATGTAAGAATTATTATTGTTTATTGTATAATTCAGTCATACGCGACACGTGTAAACTAACTGTGCGCAATTTGTGCCGCTGTCTCGCTTATGATAATATCGATATACTTCTGTGTTAAAGTCTGGCTACTGATAAGCCAATAAATAACACATTACTAATGTTCTGTTGAAGAGATGTACACACCACTGGTATGAATTGTATAAAAATGTATTAAAATTATAGAACATGGGAATAACGTGTAAATGAAAAAAAATGCTCTCATTGTGAAAGAATTAAAGTATTCATATAAATTGTGTCCTCTTTTTTTTTGTTACAGTTATAGGAAATAGATAGCGATCACTAATTAATAAACACATGCTTCGAGACAAGACAATTTTTTATTGAATTTTTTCCGTGTAAAGGTCCGTACTATTACAATATCAGTACAATTATTATTCTTTGCGTTATTGAAAGATTTTGTACAAAATATCCAGGTGATTGTTTACCAAGTACTAAGTAATTTGAATGAACACAGGCGTCGGATTATATATCAGATGTTTTAAGATTTATTTAATTCAATTACTCATAATAGGAATGCTATCCATCAACATCAAATTGATTAGTGTAAAGATTAATCTTATCAGGATATAAAAGTATGCAAAAAGGTAGAAGATTCCACATCAATCAGTCCTTGAACATTCGTGTACAATTGTAATTTATAGTTTATATAATTGTGCAATAGTGAAACACAGAATTAATGTCTTAAATTTCCTCATTCGTATGAGCAATCGAATTAATGTTAGTATGCAAGACATACCACTCAAGGAATGACTACTTAATATAATGCAATTTGAAGCGCTTAATTATCAGTGATTCTGATGTGTGTAGTCAATTTGGTATACCCTGGAAAGTTCTTCAAGGCTCCACCTTCAACAGCTCCACATCAAAGATGAGAACAGCATGTGGTGGAATAGTGTGCCTTTGTCAAGGATAATATAGAATATATTTGCATAATTACTGAAACTAATTTTTATTGTAAATTTCTACTTTGTATTAAAGGATATACTCCAGGATGTCCTCTGGAGCCATAGGCAAAATCTGGTGAGCAAGTTAACCTAGCACGCTCTCCAACACACATTTGAGCAACGCCTTGGTCCCACCCTTTAATAACCTCTCCTTTACCTATTTTGAATTTAAATGGCACACCACGGTCTCTGCTAGAATCGAATTTTTTTCCATTCTGGAGAGTACCTATCAGACAATCAATGCAAATAACTTAAGATTCTATAATGATCCAACTTATCTGATTACTATTTGTAAATGTAAATGAACTGTTTTTGAAAGGGCCTATAAATAAGTTTGATATATTAAGTGTTAAAATACAATTGCTTGGATGAACTGTACATACAAGTCTTTTCTAATTAACAAGGGTGTACACAAATGTGTAAAAAAAGTCTTAAACGTATTATTAAGCCAAAGACTGGTGTTCTTTATAACTTACTTCCAACTCGATTTGAAAATGCTATTAAACACGTTTACCTGTATAGTGGACAACTACAGTCTGTCCTCTTTTCGGATATGTCTGGCCTGCACATACGAAACATGATTAAGAAAAACGTTGCATAATAAATGAAAAGGAGCGATTTTCTTGAATGTTACGCGTACGTCAATAGTATTAACCAACAGACGTGATCGCCTTATTTGGAAGGGATCGAAAACGGATCGTGCTTTTCATAGAATTTTAGGTTGTAAATAAATCGCGTCGACGTGCCCGCGTTGTATTTTAATCGATCAAGGAGATTCGTTCGAGGTAGAATAGAAGGAAAGGATAAACGTAAACGCGAGTCGTAAAGACAGAAACGAAAGTCGCGAAGAAAAGTGAAAGATCGCGGAATATCGTGCACAGAATAATTACCATCTCCAGGAGAAAGAACTTCCACATCCACGCCCATAACTACGTATTTTCTGTCACAGAAATTGGATCCTCGACGAAGAGACCAGCAAATCTTGTTACGAAAAACCGGGCGATTCGTACCGGTAAGCAGAATTCACATAAACGTGGTCTTTGTGGCCGAAAAAAAACGGTGGCAGTCGAATGATGTTCGGTTAATATAACAAGGTATCTAAAGATCAGGGATGCCATAAATCCCCTCCACTTTTCTCCGCACGAATCCTAAGAAGGTTATGCGCAGGCGCTATAAACGAATGATGCGCATGCACAATGATTGAAGGCCACGCTGCCGGCCAGTAAAGTATGTAACACGTTCGTGAAACTGGCGTCTTTAGTCGTCTTCCATAGAATTATGAAAGAAAAAACAATGAAATGTATACCGGACACGACGCACAAAATACTGAACTTTCTGGTATCAAAAGCTAATAAATTCTTATTTTTTCCCAAATGACCATCAACTTCGAAAGCGAGAAAATAAATTTTAATTGGAAAAAGCCGCCAACAGGTTCGCTGCTGTTTCACAGCTTCTGTTAACGCTCAACGATCGATGTCAACACTTCCGTTCGCGGCAAATTCGACGTACAGCCTTTTACAAAACGAATAACGTTAATAAATTAAACTTTCAAGATGTAGAAATGACGTTTTGAAAAAAAGTATAGGATTTATAAACTTTATTATAACTTTCGTGTATAAAATTAGTCAATAAAATAACTTAGATAAGTACATGTTCAATATTATATGGAATTGTTGATGGATCATAAATATACTGGACGAGCACATAACAAACAATATTTTTTTAGTGTATCGCTTAACAAGTTTAATAAGACTCTCGAAAGAGTGGCTTAAATATGAAGTAGTTGTTGGTAATCTAGTCATTGGGTGTTATCTAAACGTGAAAATGATTATAGGAGTGGAAGAAACAAGGATATAATCTCAACCTCACGAGTCTTATTTAATTTGTTGAGTTATACTTATAGTAACGAGATATCTGATAGTGAAAATTAACTTAAGATACGTGTAGAATAAATTAAAAATATGTAAAAATTATATAAATAAATTGTATATATAAATTATTTATATTATTATATATATATATATATAATAATTTTAAATGTATTCAAATTGGTATTGCACTGTTAAATCATTAATTTCTATCATCAAAGTTTCTATCATCGAAATTTGCGAAATATCTACTTAACGATTAAGTGGAAAAGGAAGAATTTTATACTTCAAACATAAGTACAATTTCATTATTCTGAATGTTCTTTAACTTACACCAATTCCACTTAAAACATTATCAATATCAATAATTAATATAAAATAATCAGCACCTGGATTAAAAATATAAATTTTTTAAGTTAAGAAACGGTATATCAAATTTTTAAATGTTTCTCTAATTCATATTATGTTACCTTAATATCATAATACTCAATGTGACCATTGAATCTACGATTGTTTTCTTTCTACGTTGTATATTCTTTCTAATAAAGCTAATGATATACTTCCAGGTATTCTTTGATGTTGTGCTATCAGATTGTTAAGTGCATCAGCAACCTAAAAATGATAATAACGGATCTAAACTGACCGATCTTTTACGCGTTAACTCGATTACACATTTATCGTTATTATCGTTAGTGAATTTGTTTCTATTACCTTTAATTGTAACTCTTCAGGTGTAAGACTGCCATCGTATGGAATTGGTTTACCAATGTACGTTGTTAACTTGACTGGAAAGCCGCCATAAATTGGTACAAAAGGAAACCTTGTTGCAGCATATATTCTCAACCATATTCTTCTACCCCAACTTATCGTTCTAAATGCTTCTCTAACATTTTTTGTAAAGAAAGGTATTATGCACTGTTACAAAAATATTAATGTTTCAGATTGTCCAAGCTTTAAAACAAATTATTACAGAAAATATAACATTAATACATACCACTTTAGCATCTAACGCAACCTTTGCGAAACCTACTCTTTTCTTCCACATCAATTGGTAATAAGAATCTCCAAATTGAGCTTCGTATACACCGCCGGGTGAAATAGCGAGCATGTTCCCTTCTTTTAAAATAGTAGAACATGTTTGAAGTGTACCAGGAACAACTTTCAGTACATCAGAAATTATGGACCATCCAGGACATTTAAAAAGAAATCTGTCAGCTACTGTATGAATTAATCTTGAATTTAGGAGTAACACTTTAGCTATAAAGTAATAAAGATCTATTGGAATGGCTCCATGATAATATACAAAAAGCACCGGTACATTTTCTGGTATATTTTCCAGACCAACTACTTCATAGCCTGTGGAAAACATGAAATAATGTTAGAACTAATGTGAAAACTAATTCAAACTGAAATTCATCTATCCAATAACATACCATACCAAATCCAACCATGAGCATCCCAAACTGCAGCTACCACATTACGAGCTGCATTCCTCCAGTCAGTTCCATATGCATTTCTTAGTCTACCTCTATTAAAACAAAGTACTATAAATTATGAACTACTTAATTTATGGTTTGTATGTATTTTACCTAATAAATACTCACCTATGTAATTTATACACGTATAATATTAATGCAGTCAAGTATAGTAATACAACGATCACAAGTGGAAGTAAAAATGTTACTAGAAGCGGCATTAAAAGCCACGATAACCACAGAGTATAATCCACGTCGATATAGTCGACTGAAAATAATATTGTACAGAATTAATTATTGGGACAGTTTTTGTATAATGCAATACAAACAAAAGATAATTAACATAACTTGATTAAAAAAAAAAATCCGTACAAAATT